GCATAAATGAGACTAATAATTAGAGATTAGAATGGCATCAAAGGAGAGTGCATTACTTTTCTTTATATATTCATCTCAAGTGCCTGGTACTGCCTACTGCTGTTGGATGTTGACACCAGGGCAAATGAACTGCATGGTTAATCCAGTGCAATGATTTACAAAAGCAATTATTATCTCTCTATAACTACAAAACAATAGGAGCAACAATCCCTGACATAATCTTATCACAGTCTGCTACTCCATTATCTCCATACAGGTAAGTCACAGACCTGGTTTTCCATCTACAACAAGATGCAAATCATCAAGGCTGACACTTGAATAGCTTAGTGCTTGTCACAACTCAGCGAAATGAGTCACTGAATATTGAGTTGTATGGATTACATGGGTTACTACTAGGAGACAGCAGGATCGGAGAAAACATTCCTCATGGCTCAGCTCCCTCAGTTCAAGTACAACCTACAGACCTACCTAAGGAGCATGTTTGTTTTCACAGAGTAGGACCCACCACTTTAGAGACACCCATCTTTCAGGGCAGCCTAAAAGCCACTGTGTGAAAATCAGCTCTATGTTTTTCCTTACAGATTAAATGTTACCTTATGTGATAAACCCACAGCAACCTACCAGAATGCAGGTTAATGTAAAGCAGAGTTTTAAGGTTTTGTGTTTCCTTCCTGCTGCATCTCCTACCTTGGCTTTTGTTTGTTTGGAGTGTCTTTTCAAACCCGTTTCCCCACACTGCTAACAGTAATGAAGAATGAAGAAAGAAGAAACTCCAAACATGATCAAGAGAGATTTGAAATACTCCATGGCAATATGCAGGTACACTAAAATAGCTCACAGCACTCAGACTATCAGCAGGAGGCATGTTTTAATATGACAGATACACAGCAGTTTATCCTCTCCAAAAGCAGGGAGGAGAAGAAACACCAAGTTCTGTGAGCACTTTGCAACATCCTTTTGTCATTAACTTGTGAATTACATCAGTCAGGGAATATGCAGATCCCTCTCATGAAGTCCCAGGCAGCTGATATGTCCCTCTTTCTATAGTTCTTTAATTAAAAGGGGGAAAAAAAAGCCAACACTGGCCACTGAAGATGCCATTACATTTCTCTGCAGCTTCTGGATAAGTTTTTGATGTTGTCCTTGACAGGAGGTAATGGAATAATGCACATTGTGAGGGCCAAGCCTATTTCAAGGAAAGAGGCCATTTCTGTGATTTTTTTCCCCACAGTTAATTCTGAAACCAGAATCTTTGAATTAAGGTCAGCAAATCAAGTGACATAAAATGAAATCATAAGCCTTGCAGCTCTAATTCCTGAAGTGCAATACAGCACATCCTGCCCTCAAAGGATTAACACCAACATGCACAAAGCATGAGCAGCAGAAAGATACTTTAGCTATCGGCTTGAGTGTTACCATGCTGAAATACAGCATACAAAAAAAACCAAAACCAAAACAACACAAGACGGATGTGGAGCTGATGGAGCGAATCCAAAGGAGGCCATGGAGATGCTCTGAGGGTTGGAGCAGCTCTGCTCTGGGGACAGGCTGAGAGCTTGGGCAGCCTGGAGAAGAGAAGGTTCCACAGAGACTTAGAGCAGCTTCCACTGCCTGAAGGGGCCAACAAGAAATCTGGAGAGAGTGGCTTTTGACAAGGGCCTGAAGGAACAGGACAAGGGGAGATTTAGATGAGACATTAGGAAGAAGTTCTTCCCCGTGAGGGTGCTGAGGCCCTGGCACAGGTTGTCCAGAGAAGCTGTGGCTGTCCCATCTCTGGCAGCGTTCAAGGCCAGATTGAACAGGGCTTGGAGCAACCTGCTCTAGTGGAAGGTGTCCCTTCCTGTGTCAGGGGGTTGGAACTGGATGACCTTAAAAGTCCCTTCCAACCCAAACCAGTATGGGATTCTGTGCATTTATCACTATATGTTCATCACAGTGATGACATAGTCTCTGGTAGAACAGAAAGAAAAGCCACGACACACAGCCTAGAAAACAACATTATCTGCCCCATGTGAAACCGTGTCATAAAGGCATCCTCAGCTGCTTGAAGTCTGGAATTCAATAAATTTTGCAGCCCCGGACAGTGGAGCAGCTCCTCAGGAGCTTCTGTTCCCAGCACAACCTGGCCCATAGCTGATGAGCACCCGGGGTACCTTACTGTGGCCGTTTAAAATGCTGCTATCTGCTCAGTATCTCAGACTGTGCCAGAGACTAAAAAAAGAGATTTGAACAGAGGCAACAGGTTTTGAGCCAGACATGTTTCAGTATCAGTCTGCTGCTCTGTACTGGGGATAGCAGCTCTGACACATGTCAATCCTCAGGGGGCAGGAGAAACTTATACTGCTGTTGCTGGATGTGTGGCACCCACAAAAGCCTTAGGAAGCCCTGGGCAGAATTTGAGTCTTCTATGGCTCCCCTGACACACTGTCCTCCAGATTCATTAGAAAGTGCTGTGACTCAATTAGCAATGTAACCCATAAAATATGAGAGATCTTTCTGCCTACAGCATGGTTGTGAGGGTAATAGATCTGCTCCTTCTGATTCTAAGCAATGTGAACAAGAATTATGATTTTGATTTACTTTTCCTGTTTGCCCCTTTATTGCAGCATAGCATAAGACTAAAGGAAAAAAAAAGCAGCAGCTTTAGATGAGTATCAGAGAGTATGTCAGATCATGTACTTCGATCAAGACAGAATGACAGCCAAGATGAAAAGGGGAATTCCCTGAACTGTGCCACACAGATCCTTTGTTTTCAAGTTTTCTATGATTCTAATACTCAGTCCACAATAATAGAGGCATCATACAGTTAAAACTGTTACATACTCAAAAACCACTCTTAGTAGCATCTAGTATCTGCACCTTTTCATGATATTAGATTCATCCTTCCAGTGTCCATCTGTTTGATGCCTCCAGTTTTCTTCAAGCAGAGTGAGAGTACGTCAACATCCTGAGGTCTCTCTTATCAGGAGTTCCATGTTCACAGAGCCAGCCCCTTCTTCCTCCTCAGTCTTCAAATCTACGAAGAGTCATTTTCATGTTTTCTTGACAAAGAGTCTGTCTATATGATCTTTCTTTCATTTGGCTCCCGATTATTTGTTGGGGTATTTTTTGGTCATTCGCTGTTAACTCTGCACTGGCTTCATCCAATGGCAACTCTTCACCAAAGGCAACTCTCCTGTAATGACTGCTGACTGGAACCCCCAATATCACCTTGCCTTTTCACTCTGCCACAAAATCTTTTATTTTTACAAATGGTTGCTTGCTCTTACTGTAAAATAAAGCTAAAGTGAAGCCAAATGATGCTGGAATCACCTGACTGCTGGACTGCTAAAGGCAGCCTGGCTGTAGCAATCCTAGAGAGTCCCTCACATCATCACGTTAATACAAAGCCTGCAGCCTTGGACTAGGAATGTCACAAATCCTATTCACTGGGCAGTGACTGTTCTGATCAAGTCTGATCCATTGGATGTAAAGCTTCAAAAGCTGGGAAACAGAAGTTTCTTTTACAAGACGTGCCAGAAAGATGTTACAGTCCATGATTTAATGAACTTTGGAGTAGGTGGCATCCCTGTGCTGTGTCTTTATATCCTCATCTTATTTAATTAGGCTGTAAAACCTTGTTTAAAACTCAGATCTAGCAAGTCATACTTTCCAAGGTAAATTGGGGTTGAAAGATTCCCATTTGCCAGTAGGAAGGCTGGAAGTTCAACAACAGTAACAGCAATAACTGTGACCCAAGTTCTCCCAGATAATTCTGAGCCTCACTCCAATTTTAAGCCTCCCACTTCTCCACGAGCTTTTGCAGATAACGATAAGGTCCTGTTACAGCACAGGATTTTTTTTACATTGCTAATCCATAAAATACTATAGAGGAGACATAAAAGATAGAACTTTATAAAGTGTTCAACACAAAGAGCTAAGTATGTGGTTAATGTAACAATGTCCTTTTAAGTTCCCCTGATAATATATGACTGAAATATAACAAGAAAAAAATAGTCTTTTTTTTTATTAAGGAAATGTCCCTTGCCCTTCACTGCAGGATTAGTCTAACTTGTCTGGCTCCACAGGATCTTACGGCTGTCTGGGATACAGAGACCTTTTAAGTTGCTAGGCAGTGTAAGATCTAAACCTTTTGCCTAGCAAATGGCCTAAATAATTCTATTCTGTCAGTTATGAAAGCCTAACAGTCTCTCCTGATCTCATCTGCTCACAACTTTAAAGTGTTTGAACCCTTAATAAATAAGCCTTCTGATTCCCACACACACTATGTTAACAAAAGTGCCTCAATGATCATGTCTGCAGTGAGCTTCCACAGCCCAAGATGAGAAGGGATGTGTGTTCGCTCCACCTTCCTGCAGAGTGAAGATACCAGAGCAACATACTCACTACTCATCAGCACCCTGACTGAGAGACCATAAAACAAGGACAACCTACATTACTTCCAACCAAAACAACTAGGGACCTCTCTCAGCTTAGTGTCACCTCCCTGAAAGATCCAATGTCTCAACAAGATTTCTTTCTTAGTTAAGATCTGTGTTGGGTACCTCCTTTCAAAAGTAGCTGGGGGGGGGGGGGGGGGGGGTGTTGTTAATGATCTTACTGGATGACAGGCATTAGGATCTTATAGCACATTCAAAGGTAAAGATATGATCAAGGTTTAAGTGTGTGTCAATAGAAGGCATCCAGCTATTTTTGAAACAACTGTTGTTCACCCTGATGAGGACTTCTGGCAGTAAAATTTCTCTGAGGTTCTGAGAACAGCAGAACTAACCCAAATTTTGTTGCTCCAGGATAATCTAGCTCCCATTCAGTTCCAAAAAATGGAGGATCAAGCCTGCATTATCTCCTACCTCCTCAGGGAGGTTAATACACCCCAAGATTCTTTTGACAGCCTCTGACAGTCTTCACTGCCAGAATTAAGTAACTTCCTGTAGCAAGGGCATTGATAGCAAGCACTATCCAATGCAGTATATACTAACAGAGCCATTCCTGAGACTTACCTCCTTCAGATGCATCCTCTGTTCAAAATGAAGACAGAAGACACTTCGCACAATGACAGTTTATTGGTCTTTCACATCCTACAGGGTCAGCAAGACTTTCTCCAGAACCTAGGGCAAAATCATACAGCTCAATTAAGGAAAACACCCAAATGAATCCCAGAAGATACTGACTATATCCATATCTGCTTGTCTATTGATAAATCATAGTGATATTACAGAGGCAGAGCATACAGATGTTTTATTTAAGCCATTATTAGAACTGAAAATGATTCTTTTGTTTCCAAGGATTAGTGATTAGGCTATAGACCCAGTTGCCGTAATGTCAGCTTCAACAGCCTAAAAATTTTACCTGTTTTGTAATGGTGGTTTTCAGAGGCCAAAGAGCTAAATTTACGGGTAAATCAACAGAGCCCTGCTAAATTACAACTGCAAGGAACACAGCACCAAAGCTTAATGAATTGGCTTTGACTCGGGTCACAGAGCTGACAGCTTCTGTTTCTCAAATCACCTTTCAGCAGATCAGCAAAGAGGCAATGACAGAGCCCAGCAGTATCCCAACTCTCCTGTGCCAGAAGGAAAGGGGCACCAAGAAGGAAATGAGGATGTGAAAACCCATCAGAGTCACAAGAAATAAAGCTCAGCCCGTCATCATGGATATCTTGTTACTTGGTAAATCAGAAGTAGGTGCTTTCTCCTGATCAGCATCTCTGTTTCACTTGCATGATCATCACCCATTTATTTCCTCCCTATCTAAGAAGTAGACAAACTCCTGCTGCTTCTTACAAAGCACTTTAAAGTCTTACAGGATAAGGCATAAAATCTTATTTGTTATTACTGTATAACTGTCAGGGAGCTGCGTTACAAGGTGATGGTGAGCCAAGAGCTAGCAGTGGCCACAATGCAGGCTGGGCAGTAAACCCATGGGCAGGCACCACAGCACCAGAGCTGGGCAAGCAGAAGGGGGTGGTGATAGCAGCATGTCCTATCAACGGTCATGTGATCACCAGGCAGATGTAAAGGACCAATTCATGTCCAAGGTTAGTTCAGGAAACCCAAACAACAATCCAGGAACAGACCTAGGAACAGCTATATCCACAACATGGTGCAAGGACTGGGTGTCTAAGCCTGAGCTTCAATGAAACCCCTAGGCCCTTAGGCAGAATATGTGGCTTGGGGTCCCAGACGAGGTTAGGCAGAGCATTAAAAGCCTGCTGGTGACAAGGTGTAAGGGCCAACAGCAATTCCAAGAATACCTTCCCACCAAAGCAAAGCCTTTCCCGCAAGAACTCGAGGCTTCTTTCACATGACCAAGCTGCAATAAATTGTTGATGGGTGAAGAAGGTCAAGAAAATTTTTCTGTTCAAAATTTGATCCTTGCAGATGTTATCAGCTAAGAAGGGACTAAACTCAAGTTAATTATTTGGCGCAAATTACAGGCAAAGCAAGTCTGCGCTGAGACACTGTGCTTGAACCCAGTTGGCCACTGCAGTGTGGCTGAGATTGACTGCCCGGATCTGGCTCCAGGTTCTTTAGGACGGAGCTGCACGCTCCAGAGTCAGAAGCAGTGGATCAGTGCCAGTGTGGAGCAGCACTGTCCCTGAGAGAGCAGAAAGGGCCACACTGGGTAAATTTCACATAAATATTGCAGAGTATCCCAAGACTGGACAGTTTTCCCCATTGCCTGCACCAATCCACATCAACAATCAGCACAACGGACACATCTTTATCTGTCCCAAGTTTTCTTTGGGACAAATTATGCCCCAGAGTGCATGGGAAGGTTGCTTCACAACAGACCTTTTGCCCCTAAGCTCTAAAAGGGGAGATGAATTCCAGTTCTGATTGAAAACTGACGTTATGCTTTAGCAGCTAGTGATCTCGGAGCAAAATCAAAAAGTGATAAGAAATCAAAAGCTGGGCACTGGCTTGAAGTTAATGAAGTTAATTTATCATAGATCCTGCTTCAAGTAAAAATAACAGACTGTCTCATGAAAATCTGGGATAATGGTTGCTCTGGCACCAGTCAGCGCTTCCAGAGAGAACAGCAAAATTAGTGGTCAAGGAAATGAAAAGTGAAACAGTGATTTATATGCAGCCCTAGGTAATAGCAGTGAAATTAGTGAAATTAGCTCCAGATATTATTTCTGCTCCTTAGGTAAATCATTTGAAACATGTCAGGCAAAAGCTAATTCTTGTATCAACTGCAACTGGCCTGAGAATGCATTTCCAGGGGTGTAAACCTAGGGAAAAAGGGAACTGCAAAGAGAGATTAATGCATCATAATGCACAAAGCAAGGGAAAAGGTCTAAACAACATGAAAGTTTCCATCATTAAGGATTTGTAAGGGAATTAATTGATGGCTTGCTATGCTAAAGCTCCAGAGCGTACTGATGGAGTGTTCTATCAAAGCCCATGCCCACTTGCTGCTCCATTCCCCTCAAAACACATCCTAGCATAATGCACTACAGAAAAAAGTCAAATGCGTGCTAGAGATGGAAATTCAACATGGAAGCAAGACAATATTTAAGGCACAAGTGTTTCTTTGAATGCGAATGTAAGATTTGCAGTATGTGCTAAAATGGGTAAAACAGGCAGATAAGCAGTAGAGTCAGAATCAACAAGGTCGAAAAAGACCTTTCAGATCAAGTCCAACCACTATCCCAGCACTGCCAAGCCCACCATTAACCCATGTCACTAAGGGCAAACTGATCTCCCCTCATGGCTGCCCCTCATGATCTCCACTTGCAGCCACCCCTCATCTGCCCCCCATAGCTGCCCACACTGTACAGCTGCTGCCCCTATACTTCACGGCCACCCCTCCTCTCCCCTCATGATCCCCCCTCATGACTGCCCCTCACCAGTCATGGCCACTCTTCATGCCCCATGGCTGCCCTTGCTCTCCCTTCATGATCTCTCCTCATGGCTGCCCCTCCTTTCGCCTCACAATCTTTCCTTATGGCCACCCTTCCTCTCCCCTCACAACACCTCCTCACCGCTCATGGCTAGTCCTCCTCTCCCCTCACGATCTCCCTTCTTGGCTGCCCTCTTCTTTTTCCTCACCATCTCCCTACATGACCGCCCCTTCACCTGGCATGGCCGCACCTTCTTTCCCCTCACGATCTTCCATCATGGCCGCCGCTCCTCTCCCCTCATGGCTGCCCCTCTCTCCCTCCCCCCACCCCTCCGACTGACGCCCTTTGGATCTGTAATGGAGCAGATGAGGACGCACCAGCTCCTGGGTTCTCCAGGTGTTTGGGACAAATTCAGACCCAAACTCCTCTGATCCAGGCCCGGATTCACAGCCATGCAGGGAAGTTGCCCTCAAATTGCCCCACACTCACCCTTAACATCGGCCATGATGTGTGGTGCCCAGGAAGGAAAGGCTGCGTTAGTGCTGCAGGACGCGCACGTGGCTCCTCTGGGAAGAGCGCTGCGAATTCACAACGGTCACTTTGCATTTGCCTTTCCTGTCTTTTTTAGTGGGTTTTTCCCCCTGTGGTACATCGTTGTGCCCTGGTACTCAGCCAGCTCACCCAGCTAACAGCGAGGTAGGCGACAGACAAAGCTGCCTGAAACCTGGAGGCAGACACCCGGCAGGCAGCCCTTCCTGCTTCAGGCATCTGACTTCTGGCTGCAGCTCCCCTCAAGCCTCTGTGGCTTCCCAAATATTCACTGGCTTGTCTACATCATAAAGCAAGGTCTGCAACGTCAAAGTAACCAATGAATTACATTGTTTGCTAGGCTAACAGCGCGATAAGGGCAATGATGTTAAGATCTCACACTGAACCCACAGAGAGATGTTATCTAACATTCAGTACTTGAACACACTAAAAACTGAAGGAAGAGCACAAAGGATTTTAGCTCAAAGCCAAGCTTCCAAATGTCAATGTCAAACAACTACAGATGTACACTTTTGCCTCACTGATTTATGGAAAAGCCCGCTACAGAAAGAAGAATACTTAAGAGAGAGCAGGTGTACCACTGAAATCCATCCTGGTCAAGTTTAAGGGCAACAGAAGCTGATGCAGTTCGATAGGAACATAAAAGCAATAAGCAAACGCCTTCTAAAAATACAACCACTCTCACAGGCAGGATTGAGAGCTGTAAAATAGAAATTAAGAAGCATAAAGAGAAACAGTGAATTTCACATGGCAAGGACTGTCCCAAATAACTGCTGGGGTTTAAGAACTACAGTCACCTCAGGAAAAAAAATAAAACCCAGACCACAAAAGATTGCATTTATAGAGATTTTATAGAGATGATAAAACCTACGGACCTCTAAGCCAGACAAATGACTACTTGAAAGTGCCCTAAAGAAGTGGCTCTACTCTTTTCGCTTCCAGATGGAAGCAGTTATGAGCAGAATGTGATTAATGTGATTAATCAATGCAAAACAGTGGAGAGAAACCAGTGTAGGAAGCATCCGCCAAGTTTCCATTATTTTCCTATGCCAACAATTCTTTTGTCTTTATCTTCATCCAGCCACTCTTCCAAATAATCATCTTCAACAAGTTTGCTTTCCAAGATGCGGAAGCACTAAAACCATAACCATTTACTGCAACAGGAGTAGTGTGTCTTCAGCTGTGCATGTCCAACTGAATGACCTACATCCAATGGCTGCATTAAGGCTGGATTGCCATATTTCATAAGCAACGACAGAATGTCACAACTCGCATCTCAGAAGTGCTGCTCTATTAGAGACAGGAACATCCTCCTAACTCCTTGAATGTGTCTTGAAAATTATAACCTGTATCAACCAGAAAAGCATGATCATGGGTTTTGTCATGCATTGAGATGAAAAAAACTAAGCCAAAAAAATCTGTTCTACAAAGATGCTTCTGTCAGTGAAGTCTGTATTCAGGAGCTAGTCCTTGTGCTACAGAGCTTATTCTGCAGTCATCAGTAGCCTGCTCTGTAGAGGTCTTTGTGAAGAGCCTGCATTTCATCTATCAGCAAATGGCACAGAGTAAAAGACAAATAATGTGTGTCCAAAAGAATTGACATGACAGGTGAGCAGAAAAACACATGCTCCCAATGCTGTGAGAGAGGTGGGCAAGAGCTGCATTGTCATCACACCTCCTGATTTCAATATATATATTGGCATCTCCATA